GCTCTCCTGGATCGCCAAATCAAGCTCATTATATCATGGCATCTCAGGGCTGAGAAGAAATGAGATGTCATGGATTATCATGATGTTTACATGTTGGCTTATTAGATCCAATTGCATGACTGACTTGTTTTTATAGATGTGTCCTCAATATTCTTGCTCCTGAACAGTCTAGTACATGACTCCAAATTCCAAATACCTCATGGTACCTGGCAATGCTTGAGACTGTATATTACAACGGGAATAGTTCATTGAATTCTTTATCCTTTTCAAGATATCTATCACACATTACACTTTTATTGATGAAACATTTGTGTAGGTTATTGTTTTATTTCCTTCGTGATTTTGTGTCTAACCTTTACGATGTAACATATTTTATCACGTTTTAGTTGCTAAGTTAGATGGAAGGGAAATTAGTAAAGGATTTTTACAAAACTTTCAAAGTACAATATATATTACAAGAAAAAAGTTCTAAAGGACGATTCTCGGTTTGGAGAACAGTCTCCTGGGCTAATAATTTTTTTAATGAAAAATATAGAAATATTACCCAAATTAAACTATGAATATTCAAAAGAGGACATTTAGATCTACAAGATGTAAAAATAACAAATTGGTCTGAAGCAGGGATAATGCTCGATTTGACCAATTCAATAAAATACAAGTCTCGATTTGGGGAAAGAAGTTCATCAGTGTACTGCGCTAATATTTTTTGAGAAAAATCTAGAAATATTACCCAAATTAAATTATGACTATTCAAAAGAAGACATTCAAATCTATATTATGTAACAAAATCAAATTTGTCCGAAGCAGGGATAATGCTCATTTAGATTGAAGAACTTCGTTCTCCAAACCGAGAATCGTCCTTTGGATGTGCACATGATGAATCAGTATGACTCGAATATCATTTTCTCATTTACTTATACTGTGTGTTATTATGGCTAGCCTTGCATCCTGTCTCATGACCCCTATTTTCACTATTTCATTGTGGGGTGAGGTATGTAGAGGGGACGCAAGACAAGTCACGGATTGATGGTTGAATTTGTTCTTTGTTTGAATTAAAGTTTGAAATATAAAAGGAATATCGAATAGGTCATTATCACAATTTAATTATTTTAGGGGTTGGGTATATATTTGATATATAAAAAAAATTAAAACTGATTTACATATATTAACATACTTATTCATTTGTCAATTGAAAAATGTCCATTCAGAATATTTCTTTTTATATATTAATTTCTTTCTTTAGTTAACAATAATAGACATGCAATTGATTGCCAAAGTTTTATAAAAAACATTAGCGGCAATTTTAGACAATATGAATAGGAATGCATTAACATTTAAAATGTTATAACTCATATAAGAAACTATAATCCCATGGGCCAGGGATGTGTTAACACATGCATGTAAAAAATTAGCCAAACTGATCATTCAGAATATGTAAGTCAATGTTACTGCTTTATCTGACAGTAAAACAATACACTTAATTCATTATACTCTCTAAATTATATAAATATTTAAACCAAATAGGGACATTCTAATTACAAATTCAAATCAACTGGCAGTAAATGTGATATTAAGTTCACAAGCAAGACCCACGTGTATACTTCATTTCGCCTCCTGTGTATTCCTGTGTTTTCATTGTATTTCAGATAACTTAGTAGCAGAACAGAGCAGATTGAGATCTAGTTTTTCTTATATTTTAAGCACGAAATGGCAGAGCAAGATTTCATGTTTTTGTATTTATACTTGTTTTGTATCTTAAAGACGCTATTTGGAAGGGCAAGATTTTTTTCTTATTTTATTTTATTTAAGATACCATTTGGTAAGGCAAGATGTTTGTATTTAAGACACTATTTGGCAGAGCAAGATTTCTTTTTTTATACATAAGACAACATATGATGGAGCAAAATATCTTTTTTTTCGATTTAAGACACGATATGGCAGAGAATTTGTTTTGTTTTATTATCATTCTCAATTGCTGAGACTCGAGCTGACCTTCCATTGCTCTATAAAAAGATGCAATAATCGCCAAAGAATCGACGGCAACCTTTTCATTTCCAATAGATCAGTCAGTAAAACACCCTTAAAGAGACAAGTAGCTGCAGAAATTTTTACACAGATTTCTATTTATATAGAATATTTGGCAAAACTGTGATGAAAAGTTCAAAATCTTAATCAATCATTGATCATTACTTTCTACAGCTTTAATTATTAGATCTGACGAAATTATTTGAGAGCTTGTCATAGTCACTTTTTAAATACAAACAGTATCTCTTCAGTCAAATTCAGTTCTTAATAAAAAGAAGATTCAGTATAAGACTATTTAATATCTTGTGAGAATTACCATTTAGATACAATAACAAATGTTTTCTTGCCACAAGCCTTGGCTGAATTGATCTTTAATCTGCTCTATGGCCTGTAAGTCACGATCCCCATTACATGGTAGCATTTGATAATACTGGTATGTCTCTGTATTGTGATTTACTTTATTCATTTCTGTCTCGGGGGAGAAATGATAACATGGAGAATACTTTAATTTTCTCTATAAAAATTCAGAACTATGATTAAGAAAAGATATAGAGATGACGTCTGATTTACTAGTTATTGACGATTTTGTATGTTAATGAATTCTGTCTGTTGATACTTTCACGGTTCTTAGAAAAACACTAGATTAATGAACTATTCAAAAGGCTAGGAAGATATCGATGCTATAAGATCCTATGAGAAAAAAACAGGGTATCATTTGTACGTTAAAATGTATTGTAGATTTTGAAACCGGAAAATAGAGAAATAAACGGGGATTAATATACGCGGACATGTTGTTAATAATATAATACTCTAGATTATACATAATCTCACTTAATTCAAGTTTTTGAGAGAAAATTCGAGAAACAGGCATGATTTTTTTCTTATGGGAAAACTCTTTCCCCATAACTGACAGTTAAAGAGAGATAGCGAATTCCACATGGGAAACACAAAAGAGATGTTATGATTCCTTAACCTTTAGCGTGCTGCCGGCGGACTCGTCCGCCGAGACTAAAATGTCTCTCACAACTGCCGGCGGACCCGTACGCCCGATTTCAAACTTTTAAAAACTTTACTTTTTCGCGCCATTCGTATTGTCCAATTAGATTGCCCGATTTATTCAGTGCCTAACATGACTTCCTGTTGACCTAGAAATGGCGATATTTCGAAAAATAATTCTCAATTCAACAATTTAAACAGTGTTTTAGTCGTTTTAAGTGAACAAATCGTACAAAATGGCGGACAAATACGATCACAACGAAAATGTGGAGGAAATAGATTACGATTTCGAGCTCTTTAGGCTCTTGGAAGCCGATAACGGTCATCAAAAATAGAAACTAGAATATTTTCTGAATTGAAAAATTGAACATTCGATCGCTGCAAATTCAGATTTGGATTCTGACCAGACGAAGAGGCGGAGCGGCGGATTCCGGAGGAGTATTCATGGTATATTTATGCCCAGTCGTGTTAATGTACGAAAAAATTCATGAGAACATTTTTTTCATGAGCCAGGCCACTGTATCTTCCCTCTGTGAAAATTTGATCCAGATTCATTCAGTAGTTATTGAGATATTAATTATTTAGTCCAGGCATATCATTTTTTGCACTCTTTGAAAAATAAGCCAGTTGCATGGGATATATTTGCTGAAATAAGGCAGCATGGTAAAGGTTAAAGAGCAAGTTGAAGAGAAAAGAGAGAATTATTTGATACAAAGCCCAAACTTCGCCCTATAAATTACAGGAACAAAAAAACAAGAAACACATTTTCATCGTGTAATATTTTTTTCGTATCATATTGACACTTTCTCTTGGGTTTAATTTTCCGAGTTTACATATTAACATGGTTGGGATCCTATGATAAATGTCTGACTCAATCTTAAGATTCTACATTCGTATTCAAGTTGTAATCTGAAAACACAAGGGGACCAAATCACAAAGGCGTGAATCACAGTGACTTCAGAATAAAGTCTTTACATGTTTTACAATGAACTCAATTTCAAGTCTGAATTCAGTATGGTATAAACATGGTAGCTTTTATCAAAAGAATTGAGCAATAAATGAATAAAATGAAATCAAAAAGAGAAATAAGCAAATTGTTTTATCTGAAGTAAATACTTTATACAATCCTGTGTGATGTGATATGTGTAATATAATATCATATCATATGACATAGTATGATATGATATAATATATTGTGATATGATATGATATTGTGTGTTATGATATGATATATATAGTGTGATATGATATTGTATGATATGATATGATATGATATGATATTGTGTGTTATGATATTGTCTGATGTGATATGTGAATGCTCAAAGGGAATCTTATACTACACCCCCCCCCCTCCCCATCTCTATAATGCCATATAGAGCCCTAAATGCCATTTATGGCCAGTATTAGGAAAGAGAAATTAATACAGTATAAGATCCCCTGATACATAATAGACACAAGAATTAAGTGAGAAGCTAATGCGGATGCTGCATGACAATATCTAATAACATAATGTAATAATGACCATATATTAATGCAGAGAAGATAATCTAGTATTGCATCAACTCACTGAATCTGACAAAAATAAAATCAAATATTAACAAATGAAAAACAATTTATTGAGTTGTACTTTGGAATGCAAAATAGAATGGTAAAGAGTGATATCAGCAAGGAATATAATAATCTGGCATATTTCAAATGCCAACAAGGCATCAACATGCAAATTGTCACCACCTGCCATTTGTTACAGACCCTGAATGCCAACCACTGAACACCCAACTACCGCCACAAAAACGTTGTGGTGGTGACATAAAACAGGCAGTTCGATAGAAAGTAGTAAACAGTAGACTTGATGCAATACTAATATATGTCATAATACCTAACAACAAAACAAATATCATAATGCAATGCAATACACCACTACAAATCATTTCATGTGTTAGTGTAGACAAATACAATCCATTAACACGACAAATACTCACATTTGCTTTTCACAGATTTTGCAGATGTATTCTTTCTGATGCTTATCGAACCCGGAGCAGTTTTTACACACAAAGAATTTACAGTTGTAACACTGGACGCGACGGTTGAAGATGAAGAAGAACGTAGAGAAGCATCTCATACAGCAATTATCGTTGAAGTTTTGTTGTTTCGCCAAAATGTTCACTTTCGTTTTCTCATCTCTGATCTCTTCTTCGATTTTACTGAAAACATACAGATCATAAAAGTAAAACAAGGCATTAACATGACAAAAATTCACCACCACTAGAAAATTTAATCAATTTGAAGCAAGTTGAAAAATACCTTTTTGACCTTTTTTACCCTAAAGACCTTTTTTACCTTGAGAAGGTAAAAAAACGGACATTTTACTCATAGGTTTCAACAATAATGTACGCCTTGAACTTCTTGACCTCTATCATAAATCATGACAATTTTACTTTGAACAAGAAAAATGTAAATCTTAATTTCAAACATTTATATTTGCACTTACACCCACTTTGTACCTCTTTAATATTGTTGCTTCATATTGTTTTAACATATTGGGTCAAGTTAACATGTTCAGATTTAAATGTCCATAACATTTTAATGTGATGACATAGGACATAAAAACAACAATATAACGAAGGCTTTCATCACCAGCTGGCAAGTGGTGATTTTCTCGAGTTATTTTACCAAATAGCCTGTAGTTTTGAGAATTTTGTAATTGATTTCATGCTCAAATCATCACAATTCGAAAAATTTGCAGCCTGTAATTGTTTTAATTTGTATTTTTCTTTATATATTGATGTATTATTAAAACTTCATAATTTAAATATACCTTATATACCTAAACTCAACTCATATCATTTCTTCCAGGCCAGTAGCCAGGGGGGGGGTTTGGGAAGTTTGAGCGAAATTATTTCAAAATCATGCAGTTTTTCACAATTCTGAGCACCTTTCCAGTGATTTTGGCCACTTTAATACCAAAGTTGTCAGAAGTGAACCCCCTGAAAATTTTAAAAGTAAAATCCCTTGGCAAATCCTGGTTACGGGTCTGTCTTCTATTCATTTAAGTTCTTCATAATGGATTTGAGCTTTTCAACACAATTGTGCATGTCAAAACCTGACAACTATGACATATTCTTCGCATGCAACCTATTGTTAAATACCAGGTCAACACATTCTGATACTCATAACATTTTTCTGTTTCATCAGAAATATCTCAGGGCTGAGATTGAGAATATATGAGATGTCATGGTTTATCATGATGAAGTCAACATGATTACAATGGAGGCAGAAAACGATCCATTATCAGGCCCCCTCCACTCCCTCTGTCTCACTGTAATTGATACTAAGGCTTGTTTACTTTAGCTAGCTCACGATGCAATTAATTTAACCTCATTGATAAAAATGATATCACTTCTAATCATATTAGGAATAATATACTTATTTCATATCAACACAAAAAAGTATTATCAATAAAAACATGTAAAAACAATGTATGATGATATATTTTCCAAATATTCTCTGAACTCAGATTTCAATATGTATGAACGCCATGAACAGTTTACACTCCCTGTAGATCAAACATTAAGGTAATGGCAAATGAAATTGAAATGCATTAGGTCATAATGATAAAACAAGAGCACTTCATAATCAAGACACTGCACAACTGCTTAAATTCCCATATTGTCCCATTCTCAAAATTCCACTAAGTCTTCAATATATCGAATACTTTATCAATGAATCTCAATTAAACATCTCATATTTATACATTTTTTATCAGTTAAGGTATTCTATTATCTGTCCCCTTGCAATTCTGTAGTATTTTCTCGCTCTCGCTATCTTTGGGGAGAACCGAGTAACATTTTCTGGCACGGTTTATCTGGTATTATTAACAAGAGCAACTCCCTACCTGATTCAATGATGGCTGATCTGTAATTACAATTTATAGCCAACCAGTTCTAATCTCATTTGGACAATTATCATTCTAGACATGACCATTCTAGAAATTAACATTATAGAACATTATCATTCAAGACATGAACATTCTAGAACATTATCATTCTAGACATGAACATTTTTGGGTTTCTATCTTTACAGAGATTTCATCATTTTATCAATTTTTTTTTCTTTAAATCCCAAAATATGCCTTCCTTTAATAAAATTGCTCAAATTTTAAAATGGTGATAGAAAGTTTCAATATCTATTATACACATACTCTTAAATTATTATACACAATTAATTTAACCATGGACTCAAATGATGAGAAGTCCATGATTTAACATAAGATAAACTTAAGCAAACATATATAAGTTAAAATTGAATTTTTTGTGGTGATATGAAAAAGATACTAGAAACCAACTAAACATATATAACTTAATATTATATTACTAATAGAATACACACAGGGATGGTCTCTCTCATAATCTAATATATTAATTGCATTTATTGGAAAATATAGCAAATGTAATTCACATTTAGTCTAGTATCTGCCAATTCATTTGGTTCAATGTTCAATTTCAAACTCCAAACAAGAGTTACAAGCCATGTATAGTATAGTCATGACCATAATGGATAGTCCAGACTACCATGAATAGTCATGACCAACATGGTGAATAGTCATAACTATAGAATATGAATAGTCCAGACCACCATAAATAGTCAAAACTAACATGTTGAATAGTCGTGACCATAATGCATAGTCAAGACCACCATGAATGGTCAAAACTAACATGTTGAATAGTCGTGACCATAATGAATAGTCCAAACCAATATGAGCATCTTCAAAAGAATTATACAATTTAGAGTGACTCCATTCTCTTTTACTTTAATATCCCTTGCTCAATGCTCTCTTTCCACTCTTGTTTATGTATCATGTCAAAAGATTTATATGATTTAGGAGCTGTGGATTTTATTACATAGCCCCTCCCTCTAAAGGAAATAACTTTTGCAATAAAACCCATTGATATTTTGACCTATCAGTTTTCCAACATAATGAGCCAGGTGAAACAACAACGTAGGAGAGTATAGTATATTCACTATTCATGTATAGAATGATCAATTTCATCATCAAGAGAGTGGGTGGATCGCGTTTGTCTCACTTTTATCCGAGTGTGAAATATGGCATATACTCAGAGTCTGATAGGGAACAATCTGTTACTTACGCCCCTTGTTTATACATTTTTAATAACAACTTATCAGGAGTCGGCTTGGTCTCTTATATTACTTACGATTACAAGTGTGAACTACAAAGAGCAGGAAATATTAGTATTACCTCGCTTATTCTACAGTAAAACTTGTCTCAGTGAACACCTCTCTCTAGTGAACACCTGTCTCTAGTAGACACCCTTCCTCCACACATACTCTACTGACTTCTGTACAAAATACCCTCTCTGTAGTGAACACCAACACTGAATTTTCAATATACAGTACATAGGTTTTACTGTACAAAGAGCAGGACATATTAGTCTTACTCCACTTATTCTCTATTTTCCTCCTCTTCTCTTAGTAGGTACATTAAGAATGGTTCCTCTTCATTTACATAATGCAAAATACTAAACTGTTCTTGTTTCAGTAAATGTCACTTCGACAAAAGAGTTCTTTAACATGGAAAAAGACTTTAGCTTGACAGGTAATAAATGGCTTAAATACCCAAGAGCATGGTCTTTACAAAAAACCATTACCGCCTACAATCATCAACTTAACTAAAATGACAAGATAGTTCTTTGATGTAAGATTAACAACTAGTAGAAGGGGCCCTCAAACCAATAACACTCATTCGACATAAATATTCTACATGCGTCTCTTTACACTTTTTAATCCGCGATAAAGTTTCTTCGCTAACACTTTTCGATAAAAGCCCTGATCAAATATATTAAGAGTCACATTTCACTTATATTACCATTCCGAGGATTTTCATGATTACATTTGCCTATTTCTAGCATTATTAAGTGTATCTATACATTGTAAGTTCTTCTAGAGTATAAATTACATGTCTGTTTGCTATATTCCTTGCGGAATGCAGATTCCTCTCATTGCGCTTATTCATACTTGACCTTTTGGATTGACCCTAGAGTCAAGAATTATAGCTCTTGATCAACCCATAAAACTTCATTTTATAGTGTAACTTCAGGTAGCAGTAGAAACGTAGAAATGTTGTATACATGTACCATGATTTACGATGGAGTAAAACATAATATGTAGGATTAGAAATCATCCCTGCAAGTGAAAAAGATCCTGATGAACAGTTGAAGTACAGTAAAACATGTCATAGTGAACACTTCTCTCTAGTGAACACCTGTCTCTAGTAGACACCCTTCGTCCACTCATACTCTACTGACTTCTGTAAAAAATACCCTCTCTGTAGTGAACACCTACCAACACTGAACATGAACTCATCCCTAGTGAACACCTGTCTCTAGTGGACACCCTTCCTCCGCACATACTCCACTGACTTCTGTATAAATTACCCTCTCTGTAGTGAACACCTACCAACACTGAACATAAACTCATCCCTAGTGAACAACTGTCTCTAGTAGACACCTTCCTCCGTATATACTCTACTGACTTCTGTATGAATTCCCATCTTTAGTGAAAACCTTCCAATACTGAATGTTTTTCCTTGGAAAAAAATGTTCAATAAACACAGGTTTTAATGTAGTGATGCAACTCTAATGTTAAAAAAACAAAGTCAATCATTGATAATGGTAAAATGTAAAAAAATCTTTATCAAAAGGCTACTTATAGTTCACAAATAATGCAGAAAAAAATATTTACCAACCAATTATTGTAAAACAATCCACCAGATCCGAAAATACTTAAGTGTGATTTATCACAATGGTGGCATTAAAAGTCGATACAGTACTCCGAGTGGATTGGATTGAAAAGTAAACTCAGACCTGAATATGTAGACCAGATCTATCAAATCCTTAATTGTGAAAAATCAAAAATATCTCTATATATGTAATTTAATCATTCAGTTTTATATAAACTCAGAAAATATCTTTGTAGTCTTGCACTAAGTCTCTGCTACCTGACTCCTCTGCGATATACTACTTGTTGAAGTGGTAAGGGGAATACAAGGGCTTGAAACAAGACTGTCTCTTTATTTTTGTCAAATGATACATGACAAGTGACTTGTTCATAACTACATCATCCTTATTGATTTTTGTTAAGATCAATCACATTATCATATACTTTACAGTAAAAACCTGTCTTGGTGAACACCTCTAGTGAACACCTGTCTCCTCCGCACATACTCTACAATTTCTGTATAGAAATTACCCTACCAGTAGTGAAAACCTGACTAGTGGACAGCCTTCCTCCGCACATATTCTACTGACTTCTGTATAAATTACCCTCTCTCTCTAGTGAACACCTACCAACTCTTAACATTTGTTCAAAGCAAAAATGTTCACTATACACAGGTTTTACTCTATACTTTTAAATGCTTGAAAAATGGCGGTCATTTGGACATGTTTTAAAAGGTAGAATAAAGTAAGAAACAGTGAAAAAGCAAGGAATTAAAGAAACAGGGATTTCATTAACATTCTTAATTGTAGAGAAATGCTGAAAAATTCAGCAGTTTTTTTCAAATTTTAATGAGAAATCATCTAAAACAGATGTAAGCAGATGTCATTCCGATTCCACCATACTGTATAGCATATTGAGGGAGATCAAAATGGCCCAAGAGGTCACAGACCGATTACAATGAAAAGACAATGATGAACGAGGCCGTATGGATTTACAATAGCAGTTAAGTAAAATTGAATGTTTCTGGAAATTGTCTTGGCACAATTCCTGCAGACTTAAGGGAAGCTGACGATAAAGCTCAAAACAAAACTCTAGATTTACCCATTCTCTTTTATCAACCCTTCCTCTAAGCTTAGAAATCAGATAAAGGTCAAGATTAAAGGTCTGCCAGCAAAAGGGTACAAAAACTAAATTTATTTATAAAAATCGACATGTAGTCAACATTTTGACATCTTGAATACTCTGACTGATAAATATGTAAGTCCCAAAATAAATCACTAGGAAACCAGATATAGAATCTGTCAGTAAAATTGGTTGATTATTTTTATCCAATCACTATTAATTATGTTTCCAAATATGGTCAGATATGTTTACTTATTTTACCAAATCAAATATCACATAACTCAATATATTATAGTTATCTCTTTTTTCCTAATATAGTACATTTATTATGTTTTGAACAGTTTAATTTTACATATGAGGACTGAGTATGTTAATTTAACAGGGGTTGGAAGCCATTTTCTTAAAATAGTGATGATTGATACAAGCATCTAAGAAGTAAGTCGATCCAGAACTAACTAATAACAAATTATTTGACCTATAGATACGTGCTTCTTAATATACTGCTGATATTGAGACATAAATATATTATGACAACAGTGAAACCTGTAAAGGGGAACACCTCTAGAATTGGATTAGTAGAACACCTCTGTCAGAACAACACTTCAGTCCCAAGACCAACTGACATAATGTTAAAAATGAACCTTTATAAGTAGAACATCTCCATAGTGGAATACTTTTTAAAGGAAACAAAGGTGTTCCACAGAGACAGGTTTTACTATATACTGCAATTGAAATTGCAATTCATGAAACTACATAGTGCCAACATCAAAGTGTCAACATTAGCCAGAATATGAAGGTGATTCATGACATGAGATAATCTCCCTAATCCCTGCGGAAATTATTTCTTAATGCACTTTTTGCGAATCACACAATCACAATCCTGATGAAATATTTTCACAAAGGATATGAATGGAAAATTAGTCTTGTGAACTGTGATACACCAGAAATCAGTCTCGAACAGTAGTATTAAGACTGAATTATAAATACACGAAATAGACAATTTGCCTTTGTGAATATTAAGATAATTATTAACAGTGTAAGATAATTATTAACATTGCAATTTAAAAAACAATTGTAATGATGACTAAATATGAGGATTCCACTTTTTATCTTCAAAATATGATTCACTAAATTTCTTTCCAATAAAATAGGATAAGTATTTGTTATTTTAAATAACTTCAAAATATATCTTCCAAAAATATTTTGAATAATCATAGAGAAATTTTTTGATTATGCAGTGCCACCTATTGGTTGAATTATACTGAACTATTAGCAGTAAACAGTAAATAAGTAGAAACCGAAATCAAGGGTAACAAATCTCCTCTAAATATTTTCCCATAGAATTTGAATAGTAGCAAAACCTATTCAAGAAATTGAATAAGCCCCCCTCCCTCCCTCCGAGCACTCCCCATTTACTATTCAGTTTGGATTAAAAATCACCAACTCACCTTTAGTCAATAATAAAATCTAGTTAATGCAAAACTAGCATTGACATAATATATATTATTGTCAGAGGGATTAAATTATATATGTCAATAAACTCTCCATAATGTCTAATAATGTTAATAAAACTTTTAAGTAAGTTTGGGTTCAGGTTTCTAGACAGATGAATATCTAAATATGGGAAAGGAACTTTGATTTTTAGTATTTACATATATTCTTTATTCAGACAGAAAAATGCTATTCCAGCTTACATTCGTATACATGCACAGTACATACATTCCAATACAGTATATTAAATGTGCATGTTATGTATGTTGGTGGTATACACCTTTAACTCCTGTGTTAAGACTTCCTTTAAATGTTTAAACTACTGCAATCTGTTATACAAATAACAATATGCCTGGTTTTTATGAATGGGGCAAGAAAGTGTAACAAGTTGAACCTGAATAGTGTATTTTCTGACTATACTCACAAAGTTTTGTGAACCCTTTCACTATTATAAGGGGAGGCATCAAAAGATCAATGTCTGATAGAAAACTAAATAAATCTAGTTTGGGGGGAGGGGGTCAACGCTATTTCAGTTTGCTATCCGACAAATTTCAACATTTAAATTTTTCGCAATTTCGACTCGAAATGCCTTGGAATGGTTTAAAAATAAAGACTTTACCAGATGCCTTCTTCACCAAGATGCATGCAACATGGAATATTATGCCTATTGTTGTTGGCACATGTTTTAAGAATCATAAATAAGTTATAGTACTGGCCCCATGAAAGTCCAAATTGAGTCGCTAAAACATGTGAAAAGTCCGCGATCAACTTTCATTGTATTTAGTTTTGAGGGGGAGGGGGGGGGTCCAACTCAAAACTAGATTTATTTAGTTTCCTATCAGACATTGAACTTTTGATGCCACCCCTAAACACCTACCTTACCTCTCTTTCTGGAACTAGGGAATTTCTGATCTCAAATTCCCGATCCCTGATATTTGTAATTATGGGTTTAGTTTTACATAATCATTGTTCAGATCCTAAAAATAATACCACTTGGTGGGCTATAATGGTGACTTCATATGTTTACTGTATATTTGAGTGTTCAAAGTGTATATTTCCTCAATTACTTATCTCGATTATTTGACGGAGTTAATGGATATATTTCCAACATTCTTTCGTCAAAGTCAAGATATGAACAGTATACATCTTAACAATCTGTTGGTGAGTTAGCTTAATTCAATGATATTGGCAGAAATCAACCAGAAGAGCCAAAAATTTACAATGAACCTTGAAATTTTTATTGAAAAATCCTTGATATATTTCTTTTATTGATGTAAGCCCTGAGTATGAAACCTGTTTGTTTAACAATATTCAGTTGAATGAAGAGAAAAATAGTTACAAGCCATTAACATGTAAAATGTCACCACCTGCCATTTGCTACAGATACTGAATGCCAAATACCTACGATCGAATGACAAACACCAACTGCTGAACACTAACCACTTACTACTATTACAATATGTCATCACTCGTGGTGGTGACACAATAAGTAAATCTTCATCAAAAGTAAAGGTGATTTCTTTTACAAGTTCCATTGTATTCTGTGAATGAATTAACATTCATAAAAATACCCAACTCTTCAACTTCTTACATACTTAAATCCAACTTACTTATATCTCACTTAACTCCATACCAATGAGCTTAGTTGCCAGGATTTAAAAATCACCAACTGTGTTGATTTTATCCAATTTTGGATTGATGAACATGTCCACAAATACCAGCTATGTAGAGAGTTAAATATGCAATATCAAAACTCAAAAAAAGTTTAAGATCAAGTTTTTGTACCATGTAACAATACTCAATATCCAGGATGCATTTGACAGTTAAGGAAAAAGTTATGAAATTTTTTTTAAATGTTTTAAAATGTTAATACTTCATACCTTAAACGTTCCTTTTCTGACTGTCTCAACTCAAAATCTCTCTGAATGACATTTAGAATTCGTTCACACTCTGTTTCATCCAGATGGTTTAGGTTGATTTTTCGCCCCATATCCGATTTCTGGTCCTGCGAGGGAGTTGTACTTGAAGGAGGCTCCAACAGCTTACTGGGGGAGAGGTAGTTTAACATATGGGGTTTGAGGTGCTTGTCGACAAGCTTCAGTAATAAATATATAAATCCAAATACGACTGGTAACTGTAGTGGAGGTGTTGTTATTTCTGTTGGTTTCTCATGGCTGAGGAGTAGGCTCAGTTAGCCTCGCCCCCCGTTGTTTAGTCTGGGGGTTAGTATCCAAGCTGGTGTCATTAAGTAATCCAGGGATTAATCCGTGTAAATTCACAATACGTTTGTCTCAAATACTGTATTTATTTCTTGTTAATTCAACAGCAGCTGTTTCATCAGAAGCAAACGGTGTAATATTCCAGTAATATCTATCATACACTGCGTTGTAGTTTAGTTTGAGCTCAAGCCAGCTTTGAATGCTAATGACACTAGCAGGCTATTGGTAAGTATTATAGCTCTCTACCTTGAATCGGCTGACTCCTATGTGTATATGTGTGTTATTAATATCCTAAGCTATCGTTCAGCTTCAATGCTCCCTTATGGTACGCTAGCTGTATGTGTTTTCATGGTCTGTGACTTCTGTAAAATATATGGTAAATAATAAGTACATGTATTGATATGTACATCTGTATTAAAGTAACATATCTCAACTTAAGTAAGTAAATTACAAAATCCATAAAACCCCATCAATATTTCTCTTTATACTTATATTCAACTTTGTGTAGCACCTTATAGGCACCTTATATTTTTTATATCAAACCTATCCCTTAATGGCCGATAAATTGTTCAATTAAATTGACACGACACAGAAAAAGATTTATAAAGCTTGTTTTTACATGAATACCTTGCGTTAACAAAAACAAAATTATTGACGTCAGGCTATTATGGTGTCGAGGTCTCTCAAAAAACGAATAAAATAAACACGTCATGGTAGCAGCAATAATTTATGATCTATTCATAAAAACACTTATATAAGTTCATAAAACAAAATATTTACTAATAATATTTTATGACTGAAAGAAAATCAATATATATTTGTTACATACAGGTATGTATCTGCAGGTTTATAATTTTATGATTTTAAAAATGACCTAATCCTGACAGTTGAAAACTTTAGAACTATTAATAAACACTTGGCATGAACATGTAAAATATCACCTCCTGTTACAGACACCAACCGCTGAATGGTGAATACCAAACACCAAACACAAACCACCAAATGTCAAACACCGAAAACCGTCAACAAAAAAGTAGGAGACTATAACAAAATGGTGACATAAAAATCTTACGGCTGTTGAGATAAAACCTGCAATTAACCTTTATATGAAGTTTCATGGAAGGGGAAATGATCAATCGTAAAAATGTTGAATATCATTATCCATCCCTGTGGAATAATAATTCTCATGACTGAAGACTGTTAATTATAATAGAAAAAATAATGGAAAAATAACAATCTACATTATACAGGGGGGCATAACCAGATACAGAGAAATATCACTATGGCCATGTTTTGAAACATAAAATAGGGTCAAAAAGAGTGAATAAAGGAGGAAAAGGATAAACAGTCTTAAACAAACATGTAGTCAACATTTAAAATTATACAAAAATGCCAAAAATCCAATCAGTTCATTGAAATATGAGAGACAGAATGCGTGAAAAAGGCACAAGAATCATGAACATTTCTATACAGGAGTTCATAATCATATCCTGGACATTTCCCATTCTCCCAATTACGAAAATGAAAGAAATAATAGAATTTAGTATTTCCCTTGTTAGTGATCTATTGTTATTCTCTACTCCAAATATCTTTATTCTTTTTTCATTTATTTTACACAATAGATGACCTTTAGATTATTATCTCAACACAGAAATTGATAACTGAACAGAATTTATGACCATTGTCACGTAATTTGCTTGAACCAACTCAAGTCGTACATGAATATATGATGTGTTTAATACAGTTCACAGTTTTATATTACTCAACTCCTCCCCCCCCCAACTAACCTGTGCCAATAGACTCTAATATTTATCACAGTAGCTAATGTTTACTAGTAATAAACAAAGAGTGGAGACATAGGGGCAGTATGCAAATTCTGTATATTTCTAACCAAAATGATCTTGATATAAAAAATGTTGCCTGTATGCTGAAAATATATATGATCATGAGCTGACATGATTATTAGCCAACAAATCAAATATGGACCTCTTTCTGATCAATTAATATTTAACACATTTCACATGCAACGAAACAGTTTCTTCAAACCATTATGTCATCTCTTGATCAACTTAATTACTAATAACTCATACATTTACTTCCATTTAAGCATCCTTCTTCAAAGGACTTCATATATACTTGTAAAATACCCTTGCAGCAAGGATGTCATTTTAGCTCTCCCCCACCCACTCTTTGTTATTACAGTTTTACACACAGCAACACGTCATAATCAATGGAAGTTTGTCTCAGATTTAGCATTTCATGGGGCTGTACATTATGTATATTATACATGTACTGAAATTTGTATCTAAATTATTTTGATGTATTACCAATTTCTGACCAATCAAATTAGAGATGCTGATAATTTATGACTCGATTTATATTTTTTGGATGTTGTTCACGAAAAAATATTATAAACCCTTGAAATTAAAGCATTTTCCACAAACTAATTGAACGACCTGGTACATGTACTTACATTGAAAACTTTATTTTATGTCGTGCCTTCGGGATAATGAAAGCGATTGCAGTGTTTCAGCATCTGTTATTACATACATGTTACATTAATCATGACCTTTGCAATAAAGAAAAAAACTAGGTGTGCTTGTGATATAGTTAATGATTGAAATTTATTTTTATCTTAACTCTGAGTTAATTGCAGGATTTGACTTTCCCACTACTGTACATAGTACCCCACACATAATTTTGTCGCCAACTTCAATTTAAGATTAAAGTATTTTCCTACGTACATATCTTCATGAAATTTAGCATAATTAAACGTGAACATATTTCCAACACTCAAATTTTTTTATTTTACAAACGGATACCAGGTGTTCACTTGAGACTGACAGCAAACTGCTACATTGTTTTACATTTTCCCGCTTATTTTGCACTTTTGACCTCTTTCGGTACTGGTTTAAGAAAACTGTTTTGAATTAAATCTGTTCAGTTGAAGTGTAACAATGAAAGGGAAAAAGGGTTTTCCAAAGGGGAACAAAACCCCTCTTCTATTTACTTCAAAGGGAGGAATGTTGAAAAAATATTGTGGTAAAGTGTACAAGAACGTATACACCAAGAAGGTGAAGTTCGATTTTAGAACAGTTAGACCAAGGCAGATCCAAAACCAATGTTGCTGGAAACCATGGAATAAATATCAGAACTGTTCAGCGGATTGCATCTACTAACCAGAACTCACCTCAGCAACGAGGTTCAAAATTGAAGATTGTACCAAATTCAGAAGTTGAAGATGTCTTATTTGACATCGCAGATCATGAGCCATTCGCACGGATAACGGAGATTAATGAGAAATTTTCCCTTGAAACAGGTGTTGTCATCAGCAATGAGACAATTAAACGTGTGTTATACAGGCGTAATGGAGGGGAGTTTGTATTTGTTTCTCCAGACAAATCATGTGAGGACCGTAATCTCAGTCAAATATATGACATGCACCTTGGATTTATCGAAGGGTTAAATACCGCATTGAAAAATCACAAATTAACATAGGGACGATATTTACTATCAGGACGAATTTCTAATCTTCGAAAACAAGCTCCCCTCGAAAGGCCGTACGCGCAAGGGCACCAAGCTCTATGCTCGCTCGGCATACAGACCCACCCGCTACACATGTTCTGCAGTGATATCAAGATCCAAAGCTGTTAAGGTGTCCCTGACAAAAAAGAATGCTGATGACTCTGTTGTTCGAACATTTGCTATTGCCTCAGAGTCCAGGAACAGAAATCTTGGGGGTCCTGGGCTGCATCGACTTCTACCAAGAGGGGCTTTTTTGGTATGGGACAGGCTTGGACGATCTGGAAGAGCACAGAACCCATGTAAACAGCACTATAACCCACAAATTAAAGCAAAATTGGAAGAAGCAGGGATAAACGTGGTAATGCTCCCCCCTAAAGGCCATCTTCTCAACCCTTCCGAATTGTTTAACAATTGTATCCAGCAAAAAGTAGTACGTTGGCGACCGCCAGGTGACCCCACCGATGAGTACGCCCATGCAATCGTTGGGCCACGGTCGCTTGATGAGTGTGCTATGGCAGTGAATGATGCCCTGGATGAAATGAAGGATAAACCTGAAATGTTTCACAAGTTTTTTAATAAAAGAGCAACTGGAAGGGACTTTCTGAATCGTGTTGCAAAAAGCTCTGTGGCAAAGAATGTAAAGGCTCGAAGGTCCAGGGCTGGCATTGCCAATCGCCAAATATTCTCATGGCCAGCACGTCGCAATTAAGAGTTGAACCCGTGGACGGATTTATTAGAGTTTAAAGCTAATATTAACTGAATTTGCAAAATACAAACTGGAATTTTCATTATAGAATAACTTCAAATATAGCCATGTTCAGCTAAACAGTAGTAAAAGTACATTTACTTCGCTAATGTAATATACAACATGCAAAACTAAAACATTCAAGAATACAGTTAAAAATGCTAAAATAGCCTAATTTGAGGCAATTTTGCAAAATGATACTGCATTTTGAAAATGTTGTTAAAAAATAAATAATACGTTTTTATGTTAAATAAAAAAATTTGAGTGTTGGAAATATGTTCAAGTTTAAGTATGCTAAATTTCATGAAGATATGTATGTAGGAAAGCACTGAAATCATAAATTGAAGTTGGCGACAAAATTATGTGTGGGGTACTAAGTTATTTTTAAAACTTTTTTTGATTGTTTCAAAAGTTAATATTAAAATCAAACAAAAGTAGCAGACCCAGACCCAAGGTTTTGAGGATGAATATATCATACTTCCAGCAAAGACCTGTAAAAGATACAAATATATATAAAAAGTTCATTTAAAATATATTGACTGAGGTAGAACGGCTCAATCATTAAATACAGAAACCACATCCTAAATACATAGAATAATACAACATAAAATATATCATAAAAAAGTAAATCTATCTTGGCTCCCAATGGATTCTAATGGATATATTTAATAGGGTTACTCTTACAAAACGTATCACAAGGTCATTTTTTCTAAAATGGTAAAAACGATTTTGCAAAGAACAGAAAATTCGAAAAGAACTATCAAAAGAATTGGAATCTAAATTTTAAATGCAAATTCTGGTGTTAATTCAAAGTTTATCAAAACATATAAAGCTCTAATCAATAGGTGGTAGTTATTTCTTGAAAAGGTGTGCATGAAAAGGATAATTTTTATAGTTAGATTTTGTTCTTTAATAGGGTACCACCCGAGGGCAGATCAATGCACTTATCTTATAAAAAAAATTTGGTCATTTTTATTTCACATTTTTGTCATGTCTTGGATGGATTTGGGCAATTTCTCTACTGTTTAGCAATTTTGAAAGTTATATTATACAGGCACATGTACTAGGTATTCACTATATATTTCTGGCAAA